GATGTCGACTTGTCGACTTTGAAAAAGCATTTGATACGGTCAATCAAAGTGAAATGCTCCAAGCTCTAACACAATATAGAATAGATCACCGATACATATCTCTCATCAGATACATCTATCAACATGATACAGCCTGTGTAAGACTTAATGAAGATACTAGGACTTTTCGTATTGAAAGAGGCGTTCGGCAAGGAGACAACATGTCTCCTAAATTATTTACAACTTTGCTAGAATACGCTTGTAAAACAATAGATTGGAACAGATTGGAATAGATAGATCACTGTAGTGATCCTTTCTCAAGTTAACATGCTCTTTTTCTAAGGCCAAAAAGTAAGTGTTATTGGAATACGAGTCCATCATTTTTAAATATAATGTTAAGAAATAGGTTTGAAAAAATTGTGCGGTGTATGGTACTTTACCAAGAAAGATGATACAAAAACTTCCCGTTTACTCAAAATTGAACAACTTGTGAGACATACTTTCTTTAAACATACGCAAGGTTTTATATCTCGAAAGAAACCTTTTCCTAGACGAGGCTTTGCTGCTTTGGCGTGGATGATAAATGTTCCTTCCGCTAGTATATTCCAAACAAAAGTGCGAAATACAGAATAAAGTTGTATGAGCTTTTCACCTCAGATGGCTTAATTCTGGAATGTTTTGTATATTCTAAAAAGGACACAGTTAACAATAACGTTGGCCATGTAACACAAAACTAGCGGAATGGTATTTCGGAAAAGGTCACACATTGTATTTAGCTTATGTTACAATATTGTGCAGCTTACGGAATTCTCTCAAGAAAACAGGACTCACGTAGTAGAAACCTTTCGAAAAAACCGAAATGGGAACCCGAAAGTGGTAATAAACTATAAATTACGCAAAAGTGAAAGCATTTTTAGAAAAAAGAAAAATAATATTGTGTTAAAGTGGAAGGATAAATTGCATGAATGTATATCTGGGAAAGTTACTAATAAACGAGGTAAAGAAAAAGAAAAATCAAGTGTGGTAGTCGACTGTAATAGAAATCCTAAAACACCAAATGCTCTCATATTATATATACTATACCAAAAAAAAAACTATGAGGTGATTCTTCTTGTAGTTCCTTTTCCTATCGGAGGTTGGCTATCATCACAGCTATCCGTACCTTATTGGCCGCTGCTCTAAAAAGATCTACTGAGCTGCAACTATACCACTCTCTTAGGTTTCTCAGCCCTAACCTAACCTAAGAAAGTGGTTTAATACATTGACAACCGGACTATTCAGAATAGCAGCAAGCAAAGTTAGGATAGCCATGTTGATCGCCAACATGCGGAACGGATAGGCACCGTAAGAAGAAGAAGGTTTCTCAGCCAGGAAATTCTTCGTCTTCCTATGGATCTTTTACCCTTGATTTTACCTTGCATTATGAGCCTTCATATCTCATATTTCGCAACTCTGGTAATGTGGCCTAAATATTCCAGCTTTCTTGTTTTGATGTGCTTTATGACCTCGCAATCCTTTTGTAGCCTTCTTAACACTTCTGCATTTGTAACTCGTTGGGTCCATGGTATTTTCAAAATCCTTTTATAGCACCACATCTCAAATGATTCCAACTTCTTTATATTATCCACTTTTAGTGTCCAGCTTTCCATTCCATACAACAAAGTCGAGAACACGTAGCATCTTAAGGCTCTTATCCTCAGATCCAGAGGAAGGTCTCGATTGACAAACATTGTTTTCATTTTTATAAATGCTGTCTTGTTTTGCAATTTGCAATCCGTGTCCTTATTTCTCTACCTTGATCATTGTTTTCATTTAACCAAGTCTCCAGATATTTATAGTTATTCACTCTTTCTACTTGTTTTCCCTCGATATCTAGCCTTCCTACTGTATGTTGCTTAGAAATAATCATGAAGTTGGTTTTCTTAACGTTCATTTGTAGTCCATATTTGATACTGACTGACTATTTACTATTTACTAAGCGTTGCAATGCTTCTATACTGTCTGCAAAAACAGCGGTATCGTCTGCGAATCTTATGTTGTTTAAGATTTTTCCGTTTATTGATATACCCTGTTGTTCCTCTAATATTGCTTCCTTAAAAAAGCTTCGCCGTACAGATTGAATAACAATGGGGACAGTACGCAACCCTGTCTAACACCTCGTTTGATTTCTATTGTTTGTGTATCGACATTTTTGATTCTAGTACAGATTGACAATAACCCGTATATCTCGACTATCCACATTCTTTTCTTTTAACAGTTTTACGAGTTTCTGATGTCCTACTCTATCAAAAGCCTTTTGATAATCTATAAAGCAGACGGTCCTGGTTCATATCTAGTCGTCTTTGCGCGAGAACGTTAAAAGCGAACACAGCCTCTCTCGTTCCTAGTCCTCCTCTGAATCCAAACTGGGTGTCATCTATATCTTCTTCTATTTTTTTGTATAGTCTTCCATGTATTATTTTGAGAAATATCTTAAGTGTGTGGCTTATTAAGGAAATTGTTTTGTACTGGGCATTCTGTCGCATGTACTGAGTTTGCTAGTGTAACAAACGTGGACAGCAACCAATCTTGGGGTATTACTCCTGTTGTATATACTTTGTTGAACAGATCTAAAGGTATATGCAGTGTTTCTTCGTCAATGCATTTAATTAGCTCAGTGGGTATCTGATCTGGGCCTACTGATTTTGCGGTCTTTGCATTTCCAATTGCCTGTTCTAATTCGCACATTATTATTTTCGGTCCTGTTTGTTTCTGTGGTTCTTCTCGTATTATTCTATCATCGTCGAATAGTTTCATTATGTGTTCTTGCCAAAATCTTCGTTTTTCTTGATGTCTGCAATGAGTTAACATTATCATCTTTAAGTATCCCATAGTGTGCTCGCTTTTTGGTATTTGTTAGTTTTTTTATTTTTTTATGCATATTAAAGCTGTCGTATTTTCTGTCATACTCTTCTATTTCTATGCATTGATATGTTAACCACTTTTCCTTGGCCTTTTTTATCTCTATTTTAATTCTACTTTGTAGTTCTTGATATTTTGGCTCATTTCTCCCTTTGGCTTTTCTCCTCTCTTTCATTAATGCTAGAATTTCTGAAGTCATCCACTTCTGTTTTTTATTTGTCTTTTCAGGCTTTAAATTTTCTTCTGCAGCCTTTAGTAATGCCTTCTGAATATTGCTCCACTTTTCATTGACATCTTTTGATGTTAAGATTTCTTCTCCACTTCTGTTAGATTTGAGTTGACTTGTTGGATCACTTTTTGATGTATTTTTTTTTCTTAATTTTGTGTAATCAAACGTTGGTTTATTTTTAGGTATTGCAATCTTTTTGAGTTTCACGTAGATTCTAGCTATCAGCAGGTTATGGTTAGAGTTGACATCTGCTCCGGGGTATGCTTTTACTGTTTTAATTAAGTTTTTGTATCTATTTTTGACTAATATATAGTCTATTTGATTTCTGACTATGCGGTCTTTGTTGTCTGCAGGAGATCTCCAAGTGTACAATCTTCTATCGGGTAGTTGGAACATTGTGTTCATTATTGCAAAATGTTCATTTTGACAAAAATCTACAAGTCTATCCCCTCTTTCGTTTCTGTCACCTAGTCCAAATTTCCCAACATATTCGTCAACTTTTTCTCTCCCGACTTTAGCATTAAAGTCCCCTATTAATACTGTAATGTCTTCTTTTTTAATAGATCTTAAAATTGTGTGTAACTCCATATAAAAATGTTCTATCTCCTCTCTGAGTAAGAAGTAAAGCTTATAACTGATTTATTAGTTTCTGTGTCTAACAAGATTGCTACTCTATAGCGATAAGCCAGATCGTTATTTCCAGAATAATAAATCATGCCGTTTTTGGTTATAAGTTTGCCGGTGTCTGGCCATTGTACGTCATTTATGCTCAGTATATTTATTTCCATTCTGGTCATTTCTTATATTAATTTTTTTTTGTATATTCTTAAACGTGAAATTTTATTATCTAAACGAGGATTTTGCTTGCTAGCGACCTGGAAGGCCTCGTCTTTTACATGATCTTTTCCTTCCCTGCCGGAGCTTGGTTTCCGGATTCCATGATCAGTAACGGTTTGATTTTTTTGCGTATTTGCCATGATGAATGACTAGGGATGTTCTATTGAACTTTTAATGCAGTGGTTTCTCGTTGCCTTCTGCATTCTTCTGCCGTTGACCAATTTATTGGTTCTTCCGCCTTTGGAGTCGATTTCTCAGCTGCAGGACAAAAGAGTGTCCTACTACCTACCGACTCATCCGCCTGAAGCCGTTGGTCGGTAAGCATCGGGATTGCTTATACCGGCAATCACTCGGTCCCTATCTGCGTTAGCCATCAACATTGATGTTGCCCATCTCCTACCACGTGGAGGTGCAGATTCGGATTTTTCCTTCATCGAGATTAAGACCTTTCGGCATTTCCTAATCTCTCCAGAGCTTTAGAAAGCTATAAGGTGATACATAAAAATAATTTTTCATTTTCTGGATCTATGCTTATCGAATGGTACCAATGTACATAATGAGGCTAAGAACAAAAAAATTACCTAATTACAATTTAGGGAGTTAGTAATGCTTGACTACCTCAAAATTTACACAAATCAAATAAAATCAGGCAAAACTCAAAACACATTATCCCAAAAAACCTTTTAAAAAATAAATGAATCTGTCTCCTGTACACTGTACATCCAAATATTGATTTAAACGAACAAAGATTGATCATCTGTCTGATTATTTTTTGTCAATCCTTGGTACTTCAATCTATTACTTTGCGCTATAATTTGACCCTCCAAAGTTATTATTTAATTTTTAGTAACTCCATCTTTAAATTAACATTCCAAGTACTCCTTTTTCGATTAATACTAAGTTTTAAACCTTTTTCCTGAATAGATTGTCTCCACTGTTCTAGTATTTATTCTAAACTCCTTTCAGTATTTCCCACTAACACTAGATCATCAGCATACACTAAGCAGCAAGTATCGATGTATTCAAAAAATTACATAAATTGACGTTTTATTGAAATGTCTTGTCTGACAAATATATAATTAGTAAATTTTTGATTTTTTTATCACGGTCTCTTGTACAAATGGACGAATATTATGACTCTTTAGATGAAGAGGAGATAGACTCCGAGAAAGAATACAGTTTACCAGAAAACGAAATTTCTCCAGAAGAAAACGAAGTAATTTATGCAGATTCATTGGAAGACGAACCAAATAATGTTATACCATTTTATGAGGGTAATTTATGCTTAAATCAAATCAATTTAACTGAACACCATCCGAAATCTAACAGCACCTTAGGTAACGTTAAAATTATTTATTTATACCTACATAATTATATATAAATATATATTTACACTTTGTGTTGTTAATATTACTTTCATATTTGTTAAGTCTTTTTCTTTTGTGATGACTTCATCATGTTTTTCCTTTTCTTATTCTTCTATAATAGACGAAAGATGTTCCCCTGATTTCAGTGTTTAATATGCTTTGATATTTTTGCGACGTACAAGTCATGACTCATAATATACTCTTCTCTGTGGCTTGTATTATGGTAGTGGAACCTGGCCTAAAATGACATACTACTTTTTTGTCGTCCAATAACTTTTTTATTTTTTTAAGAAAAATTTAAAAAAACATAAATGTTGTTCATTGTTTGGAAGTAGAACAGATCATGGAACATAAAACAACACAATATTTTTTAATTAAAAAAAGGAAACAAAATAAACGTTTTTATCATCATTTTATCGTCATTTTATCCAAGTATATTCGGCTAAAACGACACACTCACATGGATAAAATGTCATATAAACTAAATTAGCAAAGTTCACAAATAAATTTTTTGCACGATTTTGAGATACCATTACAATCACAGTGTGCCCATTTTGAGCATTTTTGGCACCTGATCCAGAATTCTTTGGACCTTGAGTGGGAGTACAAACTGTTACAATATAAACATGAAGGATTATTTTCGTCTTCGTCATCATCCGACACAATGGTCTTTGTTTCCTCCTCGCGATCTTGTGTCATTAAAGTCAGATTCTTAATTGCTCGCTTTGCAGCTTGACGTTTTTCTGTAGCTCGCTTCTCGAGTGCTTTGGATTTTTGTTCTTTCATATTTGGGGTAGCCGTTAGAACTTTTGTTCCTTCTGATTTTCTTTTTTTGGAGCGTGACTGGACACCTGAACACGATGGAAGAGGTGAAATGTCAAGTGGACGAATACCAGGATTAATTGAAGAACAACTTTCAAGTGAGTTTGGTCTAGGTGTAGAAACCGGTTTGTTTCCTTGATCTGGAAAATCTTGATGTCGCAAAACATTATCATTCTCTTCTTTTGACTCTGTTAGGGGTTGAATTGCAACTTCTTCTTGAATATCTGTTATTTTGGAAGGATTAAATAAATAATCAGGGAATATGTCGGGATTAAGCGGCCAAATTCCAGTCTTTAAAAATCCACTAACGACATTTTGGTGTGTAGCTGCTTTTCCATACGCTGTAGCAAATAATCCTCCAACTTGGTATTGCGAAACTGTTCTGCCTGGATGACACTTCATCCACTTGGTAACTTCTTGATCATAGTAGCTCTTTAATGGACCAAAGAAACATACATCTAACGGCTGTAGACGATGGGTACAGTGCGGAGGAAAACACAATATCACTATTCCATGTTCTTTGGCAAAATTTAAAACAATAATGTTTTTATGGCTCGCATGCCCATCAAGCAACAGCATAACCTTGTCTTCTATAGAAGGATTAGAATATTCTTTAAAATGTTTCATCCATGTTAGGAACACTTCGCCTGTCATCCATACTGTTTCCTGTGCTATTCCTAAAGTTCCTAAAGGCGCTTCATCTATTAATTCTTTTTTCCAATTTTTCCTGGGGAATATAAGTGTTGGTGAAACATAATTCCCCACTGAGCTAATGCAAGCAACCATCGTTATGTGCTGCCCTCTTTCCGCACTTGTAATTAGGCCCACTTGCTTCCGACCCTTGGTTACAAATATTTTGCCGGGTTTTTGAACCGTGGATAGGCCTGATTCATCCACATTCTATATGCGTGTAGGATTAATTTTATTATTTGTAATAGTATTCTCTAAAAGTTTAAAAAATTGGCAATTTGCGGCCTGTTGAATGATTGCGCTCTTGCTGCAGACGTGGAGTCGGGTTTTCTAAGGGATATATCGGGGTGTCTAGACCGAAACCCACGTAACCAATCCTAACCAGCCATCTTAGTGGTTGTGTTAAATCGGTGTACTATTCCATTTCGATCTGCTAACTGGTAGGCTAAAGAACGAACGTCATCACAAGATAATCCAAACAAACTTGATTCTAGGAGTTTTATGTGTGTTACGAGGTCTCTTTCTAATTCTACAGAGAACGTAGTTTCGTACTGGCCAAGACCTTTATTAGTACCTGATACCCGTTTATGCTTGTCTGATGCTCGTCTTCTTAAAGTAGCTTGGGGCACATTAAAAGTTATCTATGCTTTTAAACAGCCCATGTCTCCACACTGGACTGCCTGGATGGCTCTTTGCATTTGTACTGGATCCCAAGACTGGCGTGTACTTTTCCTTTCGTAGTGTCCCACCATACTAAAAAAGAAAAATACCATACATTAATATTCTACCTACCATAATATTATTAAAATTTATATGGGTAAAATGACATACTATGTCATTTTACCCGAGTATTTAATATGTCGTTTTACCCAAGTGTGAACAAGAACACGTTTTTTACAATAAATTTTTTATTTAAACAAACAAAGCTTCCAAACATGATGTTTCTGTTAATATGAATAACAATACATACCTGGAACTAACAGAGATATAAAATTTTAAAGTTTTAAACGTTTTATAGCGAAGTATACATCGCCTACCAAAATATTTTGGTACTCAATAAAGCACAAACCACCTTTTAACAAGTAAACGACTGAACTGATCGCGACGCCCGTTGGAATGGAACATCAATTATGCACCACGTGATGCTCTTGTATAAAACTTCTTAGCGCATAGCCATGTTGCCAAGTTAGAGATACACCGGATGTGTCATTTTACCCTAGTATGTCATTTTGGGCCAGGTTCCCCTACATTATATTTTTGCCCAGATGTTGTTTACATTTTCTTTTTAAGTTACGTGGTTTATTTTAAACCATTCTTCTAAATGTTTTTCAAACAGCACTTTGCTATTTTGGAGCCTGGTATATTTTGCTTTTTTATTAATTTATTTTAGGTAGAAATTTGCCTAGTATCAAATTTTGATATGACCTATATTGGGTAATTTTAGGGCTCTTGCATCAAGCTTGAGCACGTGTTTGCTAATATAATCTTTCAATTGAATTTCGTTGTTGTGGAGTTACTATTGGTCATGAAACCTAAATATATAAATTTGCTTATGACTCCAATATTATATTTCTTTTTTAAATCTACAATACCAATTTTTTCCTGTTCGACATCTACTAAATTTTACTTGTTTATTTTATTATATTATAATTATAATACTGTTTATGTTTATACAATATAGATAACTAAGATTTTTGAAAACATAAAGCTTGTTTTCATTTTAGCGGTTAAAAATAATAAATCCAAAATAAACATAAATCCTGCAAACTCGAAGAAAAGTTATTTAACAATGTTCTATGAACGTAATGGCCAAACATGGAAGAACTTAGCTAACGTCGAAAATGACGCATCTAAAAGTTTCACCTCCTGTGAGGACCCTGATATAAATTATAATGACATAGATTCAATGTATATCAAAAGTAATAGCTCTGCGTGTAGTTCAAGTAGAAGGTAAGGGTGATTTATTTATTTTTTCTTCCTATTTGTATATCTTTGTGTCCATTAAAGGAGTCGTATTCATAAATTTTACCTCCCAATCACATTTTATCCAAACTTTTCCTTGTATTACTCCTAGTTCTTCTATTTTATTTCCCAGCTTGTGCTTGACCTGTCGTTTATTATTTTATCTACTCTTTTAGCTTTTATCACTTTCTTTAGTAACGTATCCTTATTGTTTGTTTTTTTTTTCTATTTTGGTTGTTTTACTTCTTGTTTAGATATTCTTAGAATATCTGCCTATCATTTATTTCCCTATTCCACATTATTTTGTCTGTAATCTTTTGATCAGTTAATACTGTCATAAATATGTATTTCGACTATATGTTGAATAATGTACAACAAGATATATTCTTATCTCACTCTAATGCCAAAAAAAGATGAAAGATCGCAAACAATCAAGGAGTTTAAGGGAGGCCCATGTCCAGCAGTGAATGTGATAAATTAAGGCTGGATGATGATGATGATGATGACAATGATGATCCCAAATGCCATATCTTGTAATAATGAAAGTATATGGTGGGATTAACCTATAGCCAGCTACCAGCGTACCAGCTTGTGCAAGTCTAGGAGATAGATACCATATGGTTTTGGATTCGCTTGGTATTGTCGAAAAAGTAATATTAATGTTATATGTGCAGTGCTAAGTCTGCAGTCTTATTATAAGCTGGTATTTGTTGAATGGCGTATGTGCAGTAAGAAAGCCTGTTGTGACTCTGTTGATTTCAGCTTAACTGCTAAGCTGCTGAGCATCCATATACATTTTGCTATTTGCTTGAGCGGGTACGCTTTTCCAGTGAGAGTTATGTTGTCTTCGGATCCAGGTTTTTTTCTGTAGCGGAAGGTGTTTTTTGGTACTCATAGAGGCCCAAGACTTCAATAGTTTTCTTCTATTTATTTTTGTCCTGTGCTAGATTTTTCCAATCTTGTAGCCTCAGTGTTTATTAATTTTTGGGAAATTCTTTTTTTATTCTAACTATGCGATCAAGCATCTTAATTTTGTAATTTTAGCAAGCATTGGTTCTTCTCATATCTTTTGCGTAGTGAATTAGTCTTCTCATTATAGATATTATTGTATTAAATAAATAAATTCCTCTATAATTCCTCTTTTTTGTGGATTGCTAGGATATGGCTTTCATGCCACTTTTGCGTTATTCCCTCCCATCAGACTTCGCTTGTAAGATGATATATTTCCGTGAGAAATTTTTCTTCCACTATTTAAAGTAATTCTTCCTGAATGCATCTGAACCAGGAGCTGTATAATTTTTTAAAAATAAAATTTCTCTCTTTACTCTCTGTACCTCTAGCGATGGAATTGATATATCAGGTGCAGCTGACTGGTAGTGTTTCTGTTCATATTGTGACGATAATATATTCTTGTCTAGAGTATGTCTATATATTTAAAAAAAAACATGTTTAATACCGTCACTTGCTGTATAAAAGACCGAGCAGAAATCCATTAGAGGCACTCTTGGTGTGTTGAACGAAGAAGACCTAAGGTAAGGACGCCAATTAAGGCCACATTAAGGTTTAAATGTCTGTAATATTTTATTGGGCAAAAATATGGGGAGAAAAGTCTTGTATACGTATTGCCTAACATTTTAACTATCGAATTTTAAAATAAAATACTTAATAAATAAATAAAGAAATATAAAATTTTAACATTGAATAAATCTTGAATATTTGGCCTTATTTGGAACTGATAACTTAATAAGGAGAGTTTCATTTTTTAAAGAAATTTACGTGGATAATAAATTTTAAACCTAAGAATTAAAGAATAAATACAAAGTTTAGTGAAAGAAACTTTTATTCATATTAAAAACAAAAATTTGTCAATACATTAAGTACATTTATCGCACATTTACACACATAGAGGACATACAAATACATCTTTGTCGTATTTTGGTAATCCTATACATTCTTTGTGGATATACTTATTACAACAAACGTACTTGCACATATCAGTTACTCTATCCTCATAATACCAGAAACAGTACCATGAATCTTTTTTTAAACTTTGTTTTGGTTTTGATGAGCTATGAGATTGTGAACTAAATAAATATTTGGTAACTTCTTTTGCTTTCGCATTATTGGCCTGTTTTTTGTTGATACTTTTAATTCCGGTGTAATCAACAAACCACTGGAACTAAAACTTGCGTTTAGTTCTTTACATGGCTCTGTGTCACTTATTTTTGCACCCTTATTTTTATCCTATTTATTTGACGTATAAACTGCATCACTATAATCCTCGCTGGAAACTGTACCACTTGTGTAAGACCCCGATAAGTCACTGTCTTCATCTGAGATGTAAGTTTGAATGCTTTGCTTTTATTATTTTTGTTTACACCGCTGCAGGATAGCTGTTCGTCGAAATTTGTATTCTTTTTGACAGTTGTTTCAATTTCTGGTTAGGTTGTAGGATTTTCTTTAAAATTTTCATCGATTGTTTCAATGAAATTGTAAAAGAAGGAAATTTAACTTCAGATAAATACACTGATAAACTTGTTTGGTGCCAATTTTAATTAGATATGGGCAAGATGGAGCTCCAGCTCATTTTGGGGTAAATGCTCGGGTTTGTTTATAAGAGATATTTCCAGGACGATGGATCGGTAGACGAGGTAGAATTGAATGGTCTCCACGTTTACCTGATTTAAATCCTGAAGATTTTTTTATTGGGGATAGTTAAAAAATTCAGTTTACAAAACTAAACCAGCAAGTCTTGCAGAACTAAGGCAACGAAAAATCGATGAATCTCGAATAAATTCTAGACAATCATGGAAAAAAGTGGTTGACGCATTCTACCATCGATTAGGGTACTGTCAACACCCAAATAGAGCACATTTTGAACACTTGATAAAGTAACCATTGTGTTATGAAATCTCCGTATCCCAAAATAGGTGTACCTCAAATTTTGTATAATTATGTCTGATAATTTACGAGATAATTGGCCGTTTCCAGACTTTTGGGCCACTCTGTATATTATTTAAGTAACAGTATACAATATATGTTTTTCTGATTTTCCAGCATTGATATGCTTTTTCAATATGGATCAATGGAATGACCCCTTTCCTAGCACTCATTTATGTACGAAGTACATTTTAAATACTTTTTTTTGTGAAAATGTCGTTTACTAGTTATTCAACCATTTTAGTCACTTTTGAAAAACTAGTGAAAATCTTTAGAATAAAAAAGAAATATAAATGGGTCACACATGATCTGAGAATACGATTCAATAAAGCAAGAGACCTCATTCATCCATAGGTCTACGCGAACCTGCGCATTTTGTATTTTATATGCTACGTTAAACTTTTTACGTTTTTGCCCCCAGTCGAAATTAGCAAGCTGGTCAGCTTGACCAGTGGAGCTTGACAGTGGTATACAACATATCTATTATTCTAAAATACTTAAAATTATATTATATTTACAGCTTGAAAAACGACAATCTTCTAGTCCCTGAATTAAGTTTAGACTCAAATTCAAGATATTGCCAACTTTCTGAGAGTAATGTACACAGTAATAGGTTTGAGCAATGTTGTTTTGTTAGTGTGAAGAAACCTGATGCAAAACAAATTGAATGTGTGATACCAAATTCTAAGGTAAATTAAAGATATAGAAACGTTTAATATTTCCCTGCATACATGTGGTGCATTAATGACGCTATTTAAGTACGAATTTATTTTTTCTTGCAAAATGTGTATTTATTTATATATTTATATGTACAGGATATTGATATGTTTTGCAGGGTATACCGAAAACTAGAAAACTAGAAGAAATAGAAAAAAATAATAAGAATGTCATGACTTCTTTTTTCGTTAAAGTAATGATTGCCCAACTAAATCATCAATAGTTTCTTCATTAGCGAGATACAGTGCGATTATTGAAAAATGTCGAAAACGACAGGGTTAAATGTCTTTTTTATTAAGAAATATTCTAAAAGACTTTATTGGAACTTTTGATAAATATATAACGGAAGAGTCCAGTGGCGTACTAGAAATTTTTTTGGGGGTTCTTACTAAGGAAATATAACACCAACTTCTATGCAAAACATACTATAAAAATTAATGGAAAAATGCCAGTAGTTGGCTGTATACCATCATTTAGAAAAACACTTATACATAAGTTAAAACACTTCACATTTGTATTTGGGTATAAAGAACATATAATTAAAACTTTTAAAAAGTGTCTTCAAAATTTATACAGTAGCATAACGTGACGTTTTCGATCTAATCAGATCATCTTCAGTGCCTTCTTATGTAATTAAAGCTAACACTAAATTTGTAGCTGTGACATCCATATATGATTTTACATTATTGCAAATTTAAATTATACTGTGACTCTAGGTTGATGACATTGGATAAAAATTAATACTTGAGAAGCTACATGTCTCTTTGCTTGGTTTGAACATGTGGTTCTTGTCAGTTAAAACGACACAGACCATCGCCTTAAAAACGTTAGAAGCGTTAGAAAAAGAGTTAAAACACCGAAGGTGTCAAAATTGCCTCGAAAAATTCAAACAGTATAAAACGAGAATTAAAGTCACAATAAACAGTTATGTTAAAACTCGAAAGAACAACAAAAAAGCATGTAAAAAGCGTTGTATAACAAATGCTCGATCTAAAAATGGTTAAACAACTGAAATTTTGAAATGATTGAAATGGTTTTTCTGAAATTACCTAACTTTAAGGGACATGTAGGTATACAACAGATTGTAGTAATAAATTCAGTATTACTGGATATACTTTTTTCTATGTCACTTAATATATTTCGATTTCAAAGTGAGATTTACATTCAATGAAACATTGTGAAATCTAGATTTTATTCTTTATCATTGGTAGTTAGGTTTTATATAGACTTATTTGTAATATTTAGCTGAATAAAGCTTTTTGAATCTGTCAATTTAAAAGAAATTAGCAATATAGAATACATATAAAACATACTAACAAAACTTAATAAAAATATAAGAAAGAAAAAAATTAGGCTTGCAACTTGTGTATTGATAATATTATCGTCTTGGAAACTTGATACAATTTTCTTTATACAAGCATCCAATAGACTTAGTATCATCCAACCAATAGTATCATCTAACTTTTTATTCTTTTAAATATTTTTATAAATCTCCATTTATAGCATCTGGTATTTTTCAAATATCTATTAGAAAAATCTTTATACAGCAAAATAAATCCTTCTAGTAACATTTCGACTTTCGTTAAAAAAAAATTGAAAAAATGTTTAGCTTTTATTTACGCTATGCTATTTATCTATAATGCTTTTAATTTATTTATTATCAGTTTATTTATAAATATTATATTTTTTAGTTGGAGTTATGGAAACGGCGACAACAATACGGTAGAAAAGTTAGTGAAACGAATAGAATTAAGATGAACGAAAAGAAAATTTTACAAAACCTTAAAAGAGAACTAAAAAATTCAAAAATATGTATATAAATAGAACATACTCAATACCTTCTTCATACAACATATTAATCAATACATGCGTAATAAAATGTAGCTTCATAATTAAAATCTTATTTGTAAAATATGTTTTTAAATAAATTATACAATTAGGATACTGTTTAAGTAATTGCCAAATTCAAAACGTTTTAGTTTTGAACGATTTAGTGAATTGAAACAAATATAATACTAAATTAGTTTTAATAACTAGAATTATGGTAGTACCATTGTAAACCTTTATGTATAGAGATGATGAATGTGGTTGTATGGGCATGAATTATTGATGGCATTCTTTGAAACACGTTTTTATTTCCTGACTTGTTGAAAATGTCTGCAGTATTTTTTCCATATCGATTCTGCCTTAGAGTACGTAATATTGCAACAAAATTTATCAACGAATTTAAGAGTGTACCATATTTATGAATTTAAGAATATTTTTTTTATTGAGTTTATTTATTTTATTTGTTTTATTTATTTATTGTGTCTCAACTACAAGGTTATTGACACTGGGTCAATTTTGGTATAATAAATTTTACATTACAATATAACTATAGTTTACAATAAATTAATTTTACATTACATTAAAATAAAGAGAGTGAAAGACAAAGTAAAAACAGAAAAGAAAAAATTAAAACATTAAATTTTGTGATACAAATTCGTTTCTCGAAGGAAATCTAGTATATTCGGAATAAGATCCAATTTCCTGAGGATCACATTTGTTTGACCATGTATAGAGTGTTTTTTTTTGTGCTTGCTCGTACTCGACACACTGTGTAAGGATATATTGAACGGTTAATGATTCACTACACTTTTCACAGGCGGATAATTTCTCCTAAGTTATCAGGTGTCCATGTGTCAGCCGTGTGTGACCAATTCTTAGCCTGCGAACGATTACTTTATCTCTTCTCCTTAAGTTATACAGCTGAAAGGTTTCGATGGTAGGTTGCATTTTGTGTAGTTTTGAGGTTGAACTTTTCCATTGATTTTGCCAAGACTTTTTGATTTGTGATCTGAAAAGTAGTTTTAGATCTGATGCTAGTTGGACGGCTTTGGTTGTGATTGCTTTCTTCGCAGCAGTATCAGCAGTTTTATTACCTAAAATCCCGACGTGTAAAGGAATCCAGATTAATGTTACGTCTGTTCCAGAAGAAGTGAGACAGTTTGTTGTTTCATGTATGGCATGAACTAATGGATGGATGAACAATGAGTCTATCGAGGACATCGAATCTGTACATATTGCAGTGTTCTTGACATTAATTTGATTGCATAGACATTTTAGTGCTTGCAAGGATGGCGTACAACTCTCCCGTATGGATTGAGGTGGATGGTGGAAGGCAGAACTTCTGAATGATATTATTTGCAGTTGTTACAGAGTATCCGACTCCTGTCTCAGTTTTGGATGCATCTGTGTAAAGGATCTCGTCATATGAGTTTGTGTTGACCAGCTCTAGAAAAGTTTGTCTCAGAATTTGGCTGTTAGTTTTATTTTTGTGAAAATTGTTAAGCAAAAGGTTAATTTTTGGAATGCTATTATTCCAAGGAGGAGTTGATGATAGAATTTGGGTATCTGTTATTGAAAAATCAACAGGTCGTGAAAGAGGAGGAAGTAAAATTTGGGGCAGTGTTTGATATTTATTGTTGGGTTCAGAGTTGTAGGGTTTGTAGATTAATTTATATGTAGGGTTGTTTCGATTCGAAGATACTCTAGCAAAGTATGTCAGAAAAAGTTGTTGCCTGCGGAGAGGAAGGAAAAGTTCACCTGTTTCACAGCGAAGACTTTCGGCAGGGCTGGATCTGAAAGCTCCAAGGCATATTTGTAATGCGGTATTCTGGATAGTATCAAGAGTCCTTAAATAAGTCTTTGAGGCTGACATATATATATAAAGCACCCATAATCTAGTCGAGAACGAATGAGAGATATGTATACGTTAATTAGAATGTCTTCATCAGCTCCCCAGTGATGGTTTGCTAGAGATTTTAATAAATTTAATCGAGCTAAGCAATTAGATTTGATGCTTGTAATCTGTGGTTTCCATGTTAGTCGGCTATCAAAAATTAACCCCAGCATTTTGTGTTCATTAGCTACCGTGAGTGGAATACCATTTAATGTAATTTAAGGTAATAATACGCTACGTGTTCTTCGACTGAATTTGAGTACTTTTGATTTTTCAGCAGAGAAATTAATACCAAAATTTATAGACCAAGAAGTTATTTCATTTACTGTTTTTTGGATTAAGTTTGTAGTTATTAACGTGTCTTTACCGCGGCAATATAGAATCAGGTCGTCAGCATTTAAGTTATTTTTTTCTGACATCAAAGTGAAGCTCAAAAAAGTCCAAGAGAGCCCCAAAACACCAAAATTAAATATATCAATATCCAACAAAACGTTAATAGAAAATGACTTAAACAATGAGCTAAAAAAATCAATAAATGAAAACAACACAGAAATATGGAACACATTTAAAGACCTTACCTTGAAAGTAATAGAAAAATATTCAACAACGTTACACAGGCACAAAAAACAACAATGGATGACTCATGAAATCCTGGAATTAATGGAGCAGAGAAGGAAACTGAAAGGTAGCAAGACAGAATATAACGAAAAACAGAAACTAATTGAACAAAAAATAAAGGTGGCTAAAGAAAAATGGATGAAGGATAAATGCAAGGAATTAGAAAAGTTGAATGAAAAACATGATACGTTTAATATGTTTAAAAAAGTTAGAGAAGTAGCTGGTCTTTATCATAAGAAAACTCCACATACTATAACCGATTCGTCGGGAAAAATGATAATAGACGAACATGAAATTACGAATGATAAAAATGATAATAGACGAACATGAACAACCTGGTGTAATTATATAAGTGAACTGTATAATGATGATAGACCCGAAGAACCGGAGACTTTAGTTGAAGGTGAAGGACCAGAAATACTGCATGCTATAAAGTTAGCAAAGAACAAGAAAGCCGTTGGCCCTGATAACATATCGACAGAGATGTTAAAGCTTATAAATGAGGAGAACATTGGAATACTGGTCAAACTTTTCAAGATATCGTTCGAATTCATAACCCTACCAAAAAAACTACGTCCAAAAAACTGTAGCGATTATAGAATGATAAGCCTTATGAGCCACACTTTGAAAAGATTTCTACGCATCATCCACAGTAGAATCAGAGATAAATGTGAAGAATATCAGGATGAAACACAATTTGACTTCAGAAATGGACTGGGAACTCGGGACGCCCTCTTTGCACTAAATGTATTACTGCAGAAATGTCGAGATCAAAGGAAAGACGTCTTTGCTGTATTTATTGACTATGAAAAGGCCTTTGATCGAGTACAGCATCACAAATTAATTACAATATTAAAAGATAAAGGAGTTGATAGTCAAGACATACGATTCATAGAAAAGTTATACTGGCGTCAAACAGCGATAGCTTGCATAAACGGAAAATGAACAGAAATATGTAAAATACAAAGAGGTGTCAGACAGGGTTGTATACTATCCCCACTGTTATTTAATTCATATTCAGATAGAATATTTAAAGAAGCGCTGCATAATTTGGAATGGGGCGTGAAAGTTAATGGAATTCTGATAAAAACAATCAGATATGCAGACGATACAGTTATTTTAAGTGATGACATGAATGGATTACAATGCCTTTTAAATGCCATTGATACAGTGGGAAGAGAGTTTGGCCTAAACATAAACTGTGCAAAAACAAAACACATGGTGTTTAGCCGTTTAGCACATTAAGATGCACGATTATATGTTGATGGTCATATAATTCAAAGAGTGTCCAGTTTTAAATATCTTGGTTGCCATATTACTGAACAACTAGATTGAGATCAAGAGATAAAATGTAGAATCGAGATAGCCCGCACATTTTTAAAAATGAGGTCATTCTTCTGTAATGATAACTTGCAACTTCAACTTCGAAAACGCATGGTTAAATGATACATTTGGTCAGTCCTCTTATACGGTGTCGAAGCATGGACATCAAAAATATCCACCATTAATCGTCTGGAGGCCTTTGAAATGTGGCTGCACAGACGTATACTAAAAATTCCATGGCACATCTATGCTGACAAATGTGGCAGTCCTTGAGAGAGCAAATGCTGCTCGTTAGCTGCTTGATAACATCAAATGTAGAAAGATGGCCTATTTTGGACACGTAGTAAGGGGAGACCGATATAATATTCTTCAACTTATTATGATGAGTAAAATCGAAGGACACAGAGGAATTGGTAGAAAGCAGGCCTCTTGAATAGCTCGAGACAGAGACAGTTTCGCCATGTTAATCGCCAACGTCAAGGGGACTTAATAGGACACGTTAAGAAGAAGAGGACACTATAAGAACTTAAATTATTAATAAATTGAAATCATCTAGATCTTTCAATGCAGTTTACAAAAAGGTCAACCTTTTGCCCATGCCTCAATTTTCTTTCAGGTTTCGTCTGTGAGAGTCCATGACTCAACTCCGTACAACAGTATAGGAAAGATCTAACATCGTAGTAACCTGATTTTATGGGCATTGATAAATCATGACATTTGAATAACTTAGCCATTTTTTGAAATGCAGATCAAATAAATACCATGGAAATACGCATCTGTGATATATAAACAAACTATAAAATATGTTTATTATAATCTCGTCGACGCAAAAAGGATTGAAATAATATTTTGGTGTTTTAATACATACAGGGTGATTTTTAATACATACGAAAGAAAATACAAATGCTACAATGGTACCAGAAACAAGGCGAATATTCAAAATTATCGACCAAGATCCTTATTATTACATCTGTATAAATTACTAACCAAAATCATAACCAAACGAACAACAAATAAACTCAACACAAAGTATGATAGACCACTTACACACCGTAAGAAAACCTACTAGAAAAATTTACAATTACTACTACAAAAATTTACAATTACTACTAGAAAAATTTACAATTACTACTAGAAAAATTTACCAGGTATAATGTTTTAATTTACATGGCATTCGTGGATTTTCAAAAAGCATTGACTTCGTCGAATTATGGGCTGATTCAAGATACACTAATGTAATTAAAAACATATATAAAAATGCCACCATGCAAATAAAG